AATGGGAATTATCTGTCAACTGCACTATTTGTTTGCTTTATTTTAATAATCGTAAAAAAAATTAAATTTATACAAATATTCGTCAATATTTGAACGATTAGTTTAACAGAAATATGATTCTCACGAATAAAAAAGATTTTTAAATCAACAACTAATAATACCAGTTGGTCATATTCAACGTAGTACCTGGAAAATATGCATCGGTTCAAGTTGCCACATTATATTATGACACCAAGATGAGATTATTAATCCCGAACTCAGAGTAGTAAATGTGTCAATGGTGGCACAAAATTTTATTGATTGAAAGTGAAGCAGAAAGCATGAGACAATTTTGGGATCTAAGGGAAGACAAGGAGTAAGTGCATCTCAGCCATTCGATTCAATATCTCCAATCATTGTAACTTAAAATATACCTTTATAATCATCAGATAATAGGTAGATATGATGAACATCCTAAAATAATCTAATGTTTACCACATTCACTAACGAATGATGAGTTTATTTTCACTAAATCTTAGTTCGGTATACATAAAGTCAGTGAAGTAGGGATATATCGATACATTATTTTTCAAAGATACAGAATATAACTGAGACTTGGTATCATTTGTTTAGTTTATACGATCGAGTCTTATTTAAATTGTGACCAGTTTACGGAAACGGTATTGTATTTTGAGATGCAGTAAGAATCCAGCTCAACTTTAGGAAGTGGAAAATTGTTTAAGAGGTCCAGGTAAATGATCTTTGGAGTTAACAGAGTGTCTAACTAAATTACATAATTGGACTGAACAATTGGTTAAATCGTTGGAGGCAATCAAGCTAGTCTCGTGTAAGAGGATTTAAATGAACATTTGTCTAATAATTTGACCCAGTGAACGCAGCTTTGCATAAGAGTACTTAACATTAAAATCGCCTTAAGAAGTGAATATGATTTCAGTCCAAATGATTTTCTTAACGAATGGTTACCCAAATATTCCTTAAAGTCATGAGATAATTGTGCTATCTGATATATTTGTGTGGCTGCATTGGAGGACCGTTAATATGTACGGTAATAAATTTCCTATTTCAATCTACCCTCATCTGATGTGTGGATAACAAACTCAGTGTAGTTTGTAGCTTTATAAAAACTTTTTCTTGTATATCCTCAATTGTAGGTATGGTTTTCGTTGAAAACATTTTCATTCCCAATTGTATTACTGGCTTTAATATTTTTTGGTCATCGTGTCAGAGAGTTAGAACGTCCACCAAACATACTAGAAAAAACTATATTTATCTTGGGAATTTGTTTATCTATCTTGAATTGTCCAGTTGAATGGTTATCACTTATGTAAGTCTACCTATGTTTCTTAGATTCACTAGGATATATATATAATAATTATTATTAATAACTAAATCATTAATCATTAAAAACTGGAAATGGTAATCGATATTGAAAAATAATATTTGATTTATGTCTTCAGATCTAAACTAAAAGACATTGCCGTCCGTACATGGTGGTTTCAAAAGCCCTGGAACGACTGAGGGTGAAGAGAGTCAGCTCTCACATGGCCATGCGTATACAGTCACTGTCACAGAAGTCCTACCCACTGCCTTATCGCGACTGGGGTGTTATTTACGAAATTGAGAGGACGAAATGCGAATGTTCGGCGCTTTAACTGAGTTAGTGGATATAAAGCACCCACCTTGGGGAGTTAGAAAATTCTGGAGCAACGTCAGGAGACTCAGTCCCATGGTAGCCAGCGACCAACAATGCGTTCATATACCATTTGCTCCCCAAGGGTCCTGTCGCTCATATTCACCTTTCGTTTTGAACCACAACTTTCCAAATCCTAGACGGATCCTCCATATCCGCCAACTCAGTTGAAGCGCCGAACATTCGCTTCTCATCCTCTCAATTTCGTAGGTAACACCCCAGTCGCGAGAAGGCAGTGAGTAGGACTTCTGTGACAATGACTGTATACGCGTGGCCATGTGAGAGCATTTGGAGAGGGAGAGCTGACTCTCCTCATCCTCGGCCGTAACAGGGCATTTCGGGGGCCAGATCCATATTAGGTCAACTTGTTTATGTATTGTAAGCAAACGAAAATTTGTTTATCGAATATTTATTATTCGTGAAATCAAACAATTCTCATTGCAACGGTATCATCAATTAACTGTTAACTCTCACAGACTGGTTAATTTGGAAATACCAATTGTTAAAATTACACTCAATGCTTTTATGATTACAAAATGTAATAGTTTTATTGAACTGTTTCTGAGCACCTAGGATAATTTAAAGTCATGAGTGCCTGTAAGTATGACGCTTGCAAAATATGATTGACAAACTTTATTGTTTGCTGATGTCTTTTTTGTGTCTAGTTGATATTATCCTACTGTGATAATAATCCTCTCTGTATATATTGACGAGTTATTTATTTGTCAGTTGAACGCGAACTATATTTTACGTTTCTATAAACTAAAATATGAATACCGGAAAATTATTTTGCCTATTAACACTGACGATTAAAGATGTATCTATCTGTCTGTTATAGTTCCTCTTATTACGATCCTGCTGCTCATATTAGACAAGTCCCCAAATCAGAACACGGTTAAACAGGAACAAAATTATGTTCCAAATTACAAGGGTAGATGGAAGTAGGAATCGTAATAAGAAAGACGTTAGTACAGTTTCATACACGAGAAGATTCTAGAGTCTTCTTCAAGTATCCACTGGTGCTGATTGATTAAGAAATCGTCAATTAGCGTGCCCCAACATGATCCTGCACGGAGCGTGCTTTAATCCAATCTGTGTCCCGTTAACACTATCATTAGGATTTTTTCATTAGTTAAAATATTGGGAATTTTCGATAGACTTTGGAATTCTTAAATATCCTCAACTATTAGTGTTGTGAACTCTAACCGGATAGTCTATTCACCTACCTATATTGTTCGGACCGATAGTAATCGTTCAATAAATAACCATGTTACCGTTTGTTTACTTTTATATTTTGTTCAAACTCCTGTTTCTACATCAGATAGTTGGTATTGTGCATCTATTGGTGTTAAGTATTAATATATAATATATATTGAACTGTACTAATTAATTGTTTCTTACTGTTAACAAGTCTTACGATTTTGTTCAAATGTTCTCATACAATCCTTTTCTTTCCCCATTCAGATATAACTTCTCATTTTGGCTTGTCTTAAGTGATATACGTCAAGGTTTATTTTATGCTACGCTTGTTTGCTTTTGGCTTGTTTTCACTGGTGAGCACATGATGCAAGACTCATCATCGGGGAATCGATCAAAGCCTAATAATAATTGTTATGGTCTAAATGGATTGTATTGGCCAAGAATTTTACTTGTGGCCAGTTGTTGTGCTGCTTTATTTATTTTTGAATTAGCTGAACGTGGAGTACAAATACGTAATCCATTTTACAGGTAATTATCAATATGAGGGGTTGTGCAGACTGTTGAATGTTATCGAGATCATGTACAAATCTAAGCTAGAAAACCACTAAAAAATTGAGAGCACTGGACTACTTCACTCAGTCCACGATCTGGCGCATAATGTCTCAAATCAATTGAAGTTAGACGTGCATACCATTGGATTACGGCCAAGTTGTTCAAGCGTTCGCTAAGGAGACTATGTGTCCCGAGTCCATTATCCGCTGATGGGGTCGTGGATGCACGTCCTTAAAGAGTTCCATACTAGAACTTGACAGATGTCCATTGCTTTCAGGTTTCCAATGATTATCTAACTTAGATAGATTCGCGATTTCAATTACAAGTAGTTCGTAGCTAATCCAATGTTTATTAAAATGTCCTCCGTGTCAATGTTTGATAAGGATCAACCATTAAAAGGTAGGGATCAACAAATGAAAAATAAAATTGTAATCAAAGTTCTGTCGTATCTGCCACCTTAATGCAGTGTCGGAATTGCCTACTTCAGTGACCTAATCGACCTATATTGGTTTAAATAATTGTTCTACCATGTCAAGCAGGTTGGCTAGAGTGATGTGTAAATAAAAGTAATATACTTGACGTTCAATGGTCAAGTTGTTGTGCGTTGTGGTTGTGTTAGTCATATGTTTATTCATATACCTTTGAATCACGAATAGATCAATTATAGGGTTTCATTTGAATCATCTATCTCGGTTTGTCAACCATTCAGGTCATAGTTCAATAATAGGATAGTTTCGTTTCTCTCTGCTCTCAAGGCTATTCAGCTACTAGTCGAACTCACGCGTTACAGGTCTCAAGGTTGTACTAGCATATCAAGAGAGTAAAATAGTTCAACACAATACACCCACCTGCATATTGAACGAACTGGTAGGTGGACAAGTCAAGGTCATAATAGTATCTATGTCTGAAAAAAGACAGTGAAGCTACAATCGGTTACTCGTGATATTACTTTAGCCCTAAAGTGATATCCAAAAAATTTGTTTCAAGATACTGGATCAAGTGGCATTGTAGAACTCTAGATCATTTCAACGGAATGCTTGGTGGCGTTAGAGATAACGATCCGACAATTCACCATTCAATTTTTGTAAATTCTAATTAGCTTGTATTACTTTTCATATTTTCTCAAACAAATGTTTTCGATCTTGGTTTTGGGATCTTATACGAATAAGTTGAACATAGTGTTGGATAGAATCCCCTACATTTTAAGTAAAGAGCGTGGTTTGACACAAACGCTGGAAATTATATTTATTGAGACACATAATCATTTGAATCGTGTATATATAACGTAATTAGGTTTGTAATAGTTATTTTACTGGGTATATGAATGGTTTATGTATGAGATTTACATTGTCATAACAATGTTATCTCTCTGTGTTAACGGGGTATGACCACTTGAACTGATGTACATAGGTACCGGGTTTTGCGATACGACTGATTGACTAATACTATGACTAAGTAATTCACGCCGTAGCATGACTTTGAAAATGTAACTTCTTGAGAAAGTTTATTCATATTGGTTAGATATATTAAGCCTTTACTTTTTGTTGAATACAATAATGTTTAACAGTATATGTAGTACTTTCAGTCATTTATATTTCCTTACACTTACTACTTACCTACTTACTTACTTACGCCTGTTACTCCTCGTGAAGGGGCATAGGCCGCTCACCAGCATTCGCCATCCAACCCTGTCCTGGGCAATCCTTTCCAGCTCCTTCCAGTTGTTATTCATCCTTTCCATATCTGCTTTTATTTCTCGACGTGATGTGTTCTTTGACCTTCCTCTTTTCCGTCTTCCTTCAGGATTCCAAGTTAGGGCTTGTCTGGTGATGCAGTTTGACGATTTGCGTAGTGTATGTCCTATCTATTTCCATCGTCTTTTCCTAATTTCCTCTTCCGCTGGAAACTGGTTTGTTCTCTCCCAGAGAAGGCTGTTGCTGATGGTGTCCGGCCAATGGATGTTGAGTATCTTGCGTAGACAGCTATTTATAAATACTTGTACCTTCTTGATGGTGGTTGTTGTAGTTCTCCAAGTTTCAGCTCCATACAGTAGAACTGCCTTGACATTCGTATTGAAGATTGTGACTTTGATATTGGTTGAAAGTTGTTTTGAGTTCCATATGTTCTTCAATTGTAGGAATGCTGTCCTTGTTTTGCTAATCCTTGCATCTGAACCTCCTTGTTCATCGATGATGCTTCCCAGGTATATGAAGGATTCTACATCTTCCATAGTTTCGCCACCAAGAGTGATTGGATTGCTGTTCTCCGCTTTGAATTTGAGGACCTTGGTTTTCCCCTTGTGTATGTTGAGACTAACTGCTGCGGAGACTGCTGCTACATTGGCTGTCTTTGTCTGCATTTGTTCGTGTATATGTGATAGGAGGTCGAGGTCATCTGCGAAGTCCAAATAGTTTAATTGGTTCTGAGCTGTCCATTGTATTCTGTGTTTTCCCTCAGATGTTGAGGTCTTCATAATCCAGTCGACCACCAGAAGAAAGAGGAAGGGAGATCCTTACAGTTAGAAAACACTTTTAAAAATGAATTATATGAATGTTTAACTTCGATGTAATCGGAAGCACATACGTTTATCGCTTTCAAATTCTTCAGGATTATTTGAGAGGTAGTTGCAACTTAGATCTTCTTTGACACACGTCAAAGTTCCATGAGCCGAATCTTTATATAGCTTGTATAACAATTAACGCATCTGATTACTTTCAACTACCTAACATTTTCAAACAACTATGGTAAACGATAGTATCAGGGATTAATATTAATAAACTCGACCATATGTGTGAAATCTACTCAAATTAAACTTACGTTTAGAATATAAGCAACGCATTCACACAAGAAAACTGCGCAGAAATACGAAATTATATTACGTGTAATAGAATAAACCGGAAATATCAAAATATTGGTAGTTGTTATTCGGTACAACACATAGACTACAGAAATTGCCGGATATTGTTCAAGCTACTGATGATTAGTAAGTAGTATATCGTGACACGAAGGACAACAGATTTATGAATTATGTACGTTACAGAATTATTTTTATATTCTATTCAACGTTAATGATTATCAAATAAAAGCTTTATATATGTCAAACTGATGTAACTGAAAATCCAGCCAAAAGTTTGCAGTTGGACTTGACAGATAAGAGTTTATTAAACCCAGTGACTTTTTAAAATGAAAACATTATTGCATGTAACGAATTACTCATCAATTATGAAATCATATTGAAAGTGCGTAATCTAAAGATGTATCTGTAGCTCTTTAATTGATATGATATGTCTGAAAATTTATACACACCCTTGTCTTTATCCACCAAGATATTATGAATAATTACATTAATGTGTTTCTATCTCATTTATCGTTTTCCAGTATATGGTCTCATCCAATTGCTGCGAAAATGGGTTTAACAAGTATTGTAATCGGTGCTTTGTGTGCATTTGCTTACATGATCTATTTAACTATATTAGTTGTTAAAGCATTCATACAAATATTGGGTAAACGTCGTCTGTTAAACAATCTTCCAGCGGAACAACGTCGATATTACAGTGGTATTATATATCGTTTCATGGTACTTCTAACTTATACAATAATATGCGCTGGACTTACTGTTGCATTCTTTATCTTTAGTCAGGTAAAAAAGAATCATTTTCGTGGGATTTCCTCTATTTTTTCGAGGTTATCGTTTTTACTTCTGAGTTTCGTAAATTTATTTGATAGGTAGGTACTGGTTGACATGGTTATCATTTTTTTGGTGACTCGTTTTTGCATCTTGGACGAGATTTGTTTCTTTTTTTTTTAAAACAGTTTACATCAAGAGCTGATTCAGATTTGATAATCGTTGAGAAATAGGATCATTAAACGGATAGCTGTCTCTATAAAAACTTTCGTTTTAATTTGAATTTACTTAAAATTTACTCGCTGGGATTTTACAAATATATGACCTCGCAGCCATTACGTTATCTGTGAGCTATTAAATTAACACCTACTGGTTTGTATTGTCCACCTACATGAATTTACGACATTACCAGACTATTATCCAACATCAACGGTAATATCTACACACTACCATACTAGAGAAAGTGTGAAAAAAGAAAGGCGGTTATCTTTGTATTATGATCTACGATCTGATTCATATACTCAGCACACATTCCTAAAGTTTAATTCGAAAAAAGTCTACTTTATGCAAAGAGAGAAGATAAAGTCTACTAAATACTTGCATATTGCACTTATCCTTGTATAGAGGTGGTTGAACTAAACAGAATAAGGACATAAATGGTATTCTTGATTAAGTAATTATACAATTATTTAAGATGGCTCTCTTACACTTCCATATCATCATCTTACCATGTGATATGTGTATTTCTCCCTTCCGTATATGATTTTTCTTTAGTTCACTAAGGTTTATTAGTTTAAACTTACTATTTGTTGATCAATCCTAGGTTTTCTCACTATCTTTTTTTCTGTCAATATTTTCACCTTACATTACTAATAGTATAAATGTTGACCATTCTAGTTGTATTCAAACAATTGTAGGTGTTGAAATCAATATCCCTGTCTTGCTACTTTGGTGATGACACTTGTATGTATACACAGTTATTTTACTAAACATTCCAAAATATTTCTCTTTATCACTTTAGTTAATGTAGATTGTGTACATCAAACTTAGTTGGACGGGAATTAAAACAAAACAAATGTTTATTTCCCTTTGGATTTGAATTGTTCTCGAAATAATGTCAATTTTTTATTATACTTCATTATTATTTGTGTGAATAGTGCACTACATATGCAAAACCATTACCTACCTCGATTTTTGGTGTTAGTTGGAGTATAAACGTTTAAGCTTGAAAGAACATGTAGGTGAAAAATTGAAGACATAGTATTAGTCTATCAATATATTGTTAGACCGAGTCATCTTCGTAAATGCAGACTACTTAGTTGGAGTCCAGGAGATAGTTGTAACCAATGGATTGGTGATGCTGAGTGATATGACTAAGAACCGATCACACTGGCATAGATGCATTTATTTTTTATCTTCCCATAGATAATGAGTTTCAGTATTCCTTCATGCTGAACTGTTTTCTGCAATATTTAGTCTTTTCCACTGTTACTGATGTTACTACTTTATTTTGACCTGTTTACTATTCATCCTGCTAGTTTTATCTGTTTGTGTCAATTTGGTATGATAATTCGAACTAACTTACATTTGTCTCAAGCTTTACGTTGATTATATCTCACTATATGAATCGTGTTTGTTTATGATGTATTTTCTTCTTTGTTCTCTCTTTTATAGGTTACCGAAGATCAATGGAAATGGGGTGAAAAAAGTGTGGAATACACTTCAGCTTTTATAACCGGTGTTTATGGTATGTGGAATGTATACGTTGTAGCCGTATTGTGTTTGTATTCACCATCACATAAATTTCGTAGTGTCACTGGTCAACAATTATACAATCGATTATTAATTAAGAATTCTGTAACAACAACAATACTACCTGATACCACTACTAGTAATACCACTGCTTCTACTGTTGCCACAATACATGATACATTTTTAGGTCATGAATTCAATATGTTTGATAAACAATCAGAAACAATTCAATTAGTACCGAAACAACCAATTGATTACAAAGAAAATTTAACATCTACATCTACATCTTTATCAAATGTTGAAACAAAATCTTATCTCTTAACAGAAGGTTTGAAATTTATCCGTAAAGAAGCATTTGAATAAATTCACATGAAATGATTTCCAAGAAGAAGAAGAAGAAGAAGAACTACTACTACTACCATCGATGTTCATCATTGTCTTCACTTCATTTTATTGCATCCGGTAGGTTTATTCTCTCGGTTTTAACACAAATTAATATTTTATTGATATACAATATACAAATTTGCTTCACCATCCTTATATATCCATATACTTTATAAACAGTAATTGCATATATATAATATACTATACCAAAGGTGCTTTATTATTACTATTATCATAAATACTCCTTTGCATTTGCATTTCTTTGAAGCATTTCACATTTTATATGTGTGCATCTATTCATTAGTTCGATCTCACTCGGTTTCTTTTTTTCTATTTATAATACGAAATTACTTATTAGTAGTTTAGTGTATTTATATCATTTATTCAAAATTATTTATATACGTCACTGATGTTCTTGTTGTTGTTGTTGTTATATTGTTATTATTTACATTTATTACATATTCCTTCCGGTGTGTTAGTATGAAATGACCATTATGTGCCTCTGTTTTTCTTTTTTCTTTTTTTTTTTGAAAATATTTTGTTTAAATGGACTGAAATAAATCAGGCATTTTCTATATATAATTTATACTTTAATTGATAAGTGAAATTTCATCGTTTGTTTCTTTCCTTATTCTGTTTGTTTTTGAAGCTTATTTGTTGAAGTAATTAGTTTCGGTTCATCAATAAATTGTAAGTTCAAAGTCTCTTGGTCCCTACTTCAGTTCTTTTTTTTTCTTAAGAGTAGAGGATAGAAAGATTAGTGTCAAACTAACTCTCACATAAACAGTGCGATTCAAAGCTAAGTATATGAATTTGCGGGGATCCGTGACCAGGGGAGCTAATTCGTATCAGGTAGAGACGGTTATCTACCTCAATACAATGGAAGATGCACAATTTCGTGGATTGGTTGAAGTTAGACATTAACACCGTTGGATGCCGGCTCAGTGGACTAGAAGTTAATCGTTCGTGCGTAAACCTGAAGGCCCTGGGTTCGAATCTCACGGGTGGGATAGTGGATGCGCACTGTTGAGGTGTCCCATAATAGGACGAGACGGCTGTCCAGTGCTTCCAGGTTTTCAATGGTGGTCTAACATCAGTCGGTTTATGGTACCAATCAAAAACATAAATTTATATTTAGCAAGTAGATTACATAAGTCGATTAGATTTCATGCATTATTATCTTAACATAGTCGATGTATATGAAAAGATTATAACTGTTCATTTCTGAGAGCAAATAATACTACACCAGATTTTATTTGCTGTGGTGGGGTTATTATTAACCCGTTCACATTTCAGAAAAATTAATTTTATCATGAACAAATTACTTCACCTTATATCATTATTTAAGTGATTCAGGTGTTTCCCCAGGAAAATGTTCAACCTCATGACATTCGAAAGAACTATAAGTTTTTCTTGGACTACTCTATTTTTTTACGATGCGAATTAGTTTGCACAGTTGTTTATAAGAACTTCCTGACGATAAAATCCAAACCTCCATAGGGAACAGGTACCTCACAATAACCTGTTTTCCAGCTGTCGTGATCTATTTTGTGATCTGTAACTTTCAATCAACAGTAAACGTATGATAACTTATAATTCGCTTTATTTATTTACACTATACAAATAAGTTGAGAATCTTGTTTGTATGCATGTCTAAAACAAAGAGAATGTTTCCAGTTTTTAGATTATTTCATGGTAATGTGAATTGCGTGTTCACAGAAGAATCACTGCTATGTAACTTCCGTGAGTCTCATGACGACATTTTTTG